CTCCAGAAGGTTAATGAACAGCACTCGCTGCATGTCCGCAAGTCTGAACTAAGCTGGGAGTGGCTCAACCAACTGTGGGAAGAGCAGGAGGGGCAGACAGCGTCAAGAGTGTCCCGGGCAGCACCACAGACATCCACTGTTAGAGCAATGCATCTCCATCATCTTCCTTATGGCCCTTCCCCACCCCACCCAGGGGAAGTGGACTGACCTAGCTGATTCGTAAACTTACAACGAAATAAACTTCATTTACTTGGGAGTAATTTAAAAGCAAGGAGTGGGAGTTCTGTGAATGCCTGTGTCGTGTGTTCCACACATGCTGGCTGAAGATGCCCTGGGCCTCCCGCGCCGGAGGCTGAAGGGCACCTGGCCCAGTCCAAGGGCTTTAGCTCCAGGGCCCACAGCTCCCAAGCAATCAGTGTGGTCCACTTGAGCTCCTACCCACCTGGGAGGCGATGTTTGGCATTCTCGCTGCTCTGGGTTCTTCTCAATTTGTTCAAAGCCCAGAAGAAGAAGGACAACACCGCCTGGGCCCCTTGGAGACCATAAAAACCAGTAGGATTTGAGGTGACCAGTGGGAGGCACAGGCAGAGAAAAAAGTGGGGTGGGAAACGGGAGCGAGTGCCAGAGGAGGGGCCACACCACCCACCAAAGGATTCAGGGAAGGGAGCGACTTAGCCAGGTTTGCCTTTCAGGAAAGCCTGACTGGAGAGAGGGTTGGGGTGCAGGGGCGGAGGGCGCAAGGCTGGAAAAGGGAGATGGATTCGAAGGCTTCAGCAAGCTGTCCAGACGTCGGGGAGGGGGTGCGGACCGAGAAGCAGTGCTGTGGGCGGAAGGTGCCCCTCCCACATTCATGCTCTGGATCCTAACCCACAATTCAGGGTACGAGGAGTGGCTGGGGCAACTCCCCCATGAGGATGGGGGCTCTTAATCCTGCCACACTGGGGTTCTGCTTGCAATCGCCGATTTGGGGGAGTGCATCAGACCACAGCAGTATCTGCCCTACAGAGCAGAGGGATTTCTTTCTGGGACTTTCTCCCAACACCTCCATCGCTTGCAGCTCCAGCCAGAAGCAACCTTTTCTTCCTAGATGCCATTGTCTTCTATTCCTCATCCTGCGAGCTCGATGATTTTCACCATACCTTAGTTTTCAGTCTGCCAGATTTTGTCCACTTGACCAGACTGCTGCTTCTTGACAACCAGGACTTTGATTCACCACAGTTACCCTCACTGACCCTGTTCAAAGTTAGCCAGAAATGAGTAGATTCATCGAGTGGACTGGTCTTTATAAGAAAGGTATATAAGAGGCATCCTGGTGAAACTAAGGAAAGTAAACCTGGAAAGAGGGCTGGAGCTGTTACTCCTGTGTAACAAACTGCTCTCAAACCTCCATGGTTGAAAACAGAAGCCACATTTGATTGCTCATGAATTTCCAGGTGAGCTGGACTGTTATGCTGGTCTCGACTTGCACAGCCGGCCTCGGCTGGCCTTGCTCCTGTATCTGTGGTCCCCTGGCAGGTGCCTGGGGACTGACCGAGCAAAGACAGTTGTCAGCTGGGGCAACAAGGACTCCTGGACCGGATCTTCTCACCAGCACACTAGCTTAGATTTGCTCTTTCAGGGCCAAATCATTTCCAAGAGTGCACACAGGAACACATGGTGGGTGCTGGAGGCCTGGCCTCAGGACCAGAACAAGGTCACCTCTGTGTCCTATTGGCCCAAGCAAGTCATGACTTAAGTGAGTGGAATCCACTTAATGGGAACGGAAGAGTCACTTTGTTACAGGAACAGAAACAGGGTGGTGTGGAGAATTGAGAGCATTTCTATAATCTGTCTACCACGAGAGCTCTTTGGACACAGATTTGGCTTGGGCAAAATAATCTCCTCACTGTCAGAAACCCAGAGAGAATTACTCGCCAATTACAGATGAGGATGGTGGTGGTGGCACACTCTCTGCAAGCCTGCTGTGTTTCTCACAATACATCTAAACCTGGAGACTGTCGCAGTCCCCATGCTACAGCTGTAGAAATTTAGTCTTCAAGTGGGGATGCACTTGCTGAAGGTGGTCCCCCTGAGGTAACAGCAGCAACGTGGAGTTGCAGAGTCTGGGCAGAGAAATGTGCCAGGAATGTGAGAGCTGCAGAAAACTTCTCAGCCTCATCTTTTCATCTTTTCTTTTTTCCCCACTGCAACCTTTCTCTTTTCATTCCTCTTGATTATCCCTCTTCTTGTGACTTCTATTTTTTAGATTTGGGCCACAATGTTTTATAATAAAAGACTTTCTCCTCTACTTTATAGAGACACGGAGAGGATTAACAGTTAATTTAATGTCTGCAAAATGCCTTAAGCACCTTGGAATTAAATACAACATGTACGATAAACAAATAAAGGCTTTAGGGTATAGTGATATCTGTCCTCCCTGATCACATGCTCTGAGCGTCTAAATGCATGCGTGCACACGGCCAGCTGCAAATCCACGATTCCACCAGACTGGCACCAGCGACCCTAGAATTTGCATTTTCATGTGTGGTCTTAGGAGGAAGAGATGAGAAGCAAGCTTTCAGGAGTCACAGCCTTTGCCCGCTCTGTGTGGAGAAGAAAGGCTAACAGAGGAGCCTCCCCGGCACGCAGCCTGCTCCTGCTCCCAGCCCCTCCATTCCCGAGAGTCCCCGTCCACTGCTTCTCCAGGCTCCCACTTCCCAAGGAGCACGGGCAGGATCTGCAGGGAAGGAAGTGAGCAAGACAGCAGGAAGCTGCAGCCCTGAGCTCGAGCTCTAGTCCCTCTCTCTGGCCCATCACCCGGTTCTCCTGTTGGTTACTGGTTTATCATCACTCCTGCCTCTGCCTCTGTGCATACAGCCTGCACTCTCACTACCTAGTCTCCTCAATGCACAGCCAAGCAACCCCTGAGAGCTCAGCATCCACAAAAGCCTAGAGCTCAGTTAGCCTCAGGAACCCAGCCTGAAATTCCGTGTGTATTTAGTGCCTCTTTGGAAGTTACCCTGGACCAATCTACATCTTTAAAAAAATCACCATAAATTGAAACAACTGGCACATGGATGCATGTCCAGGGTCAAGGAAATGCAGATTCACAGTCGGACGAGAAAGAGCTTCTGCTCCCCAGGATTACCCACCAGCCTCGGGGTACGTTTCTGAGGCTGCTCTTGATTTTCATTTTGAGCAGATGTGGGCAGAGAATGTGTCCTGTGAGCGTGCCCAGCCTCCCCCCGCTCTGGAAGAAGCCCCGGATGGAAGATGGGAAAGAGGCCCGTGTGTCCGGGGGACCCAGGCTGAACCCCGCTTTCTGACTCTTGTATTTCGTCACCCTACTCTTCATGGGCATGAGAAGGCCTGGATATGCCACTCTCCACCCCTCAGCTAAGAAGTCAGCGAGGCAGAGTGCCTGCCTAGGTCACCCCAGTCCTAGCCGGCTGTGACTTGCTAGCTCAGCTGGGACTCAGTCACCTTCGAACCTGCCAGTACCTCACACAGCACCGGCAGGAGATGGGCCACAGTGCTCATACCACAGGACCTTAGCACTTGCTGCTTCCTCGCCCAAACCTCTCTTCCCGTAGAAACTACATTGCTCACTCTCACATTCTCTGAGTCACTGCTTCACCGTCTCCTTAAATGTCTCCTAAGCTGTTCTTCCCGACCAAGTGACCTCACGTAGTGCTTCTCTCCCTGTCCCCGTCCTCCTGTTCCCCAAGCCGACTTGTTCTCTTGGTGGCCCCCCTAGCCTGGCCTCCATCTGGCCTTGGAAGGGGCAGAGGCAGGACAGGAGCGTAAGGGCTCTAGAAGGGGCAGCAGTGCGGGCAACAGTGGAGACAGGGCGCCAAGCAGGGAAGCGCTGTTAGCCCTGTTCCTTCCACGAAAATCCACCCCCTGCTCTGAGCAGCTGGGAACATCTGCAGCTGGTGCTGGCGTCTGGAGAGACCCCCAAAAGCTGCCCTTGTCTGTGCACGCCCTTCACTCCGTGCAGTGGCCCTCACAGGATGCTCACAGGGATTTTCCCTGCTCCAGTGCCAGACCACCTGGGCTGCGAAACTCAGAAAATGGGACATAGAAAAATGCCTTCCCATGAGCAAAGCAAGGCTCAGGAGCTCCAGTGACCGGCGTGGCCAGCAGGAACCAGGTGGGGCCCCAACCAAGACAGTCCTCGGGGCCAGGGTGGCGCCCTAAATTCTTTGTGTGCTAAAGCTTTCTAAGTGATTTTGATGGTGGCCAAGTTGAACTTTGTGATCTACCTGCCCCCCAAGATGAGTTCTGTTGAAATTCTTGACTTCCTCAGGAATCCAGTGGGAAATCAACTCCTTTCTTCAGTTAAAAACGCATAGTGTCCGCTGGAAATGTGCAGCACCCTTTGCTCAGATGGTGTCATTTAATCCGGAAAACCAGCCATAGGTGGAGCTCCTGGCCTTGCAGCCATAGTCCATGCCATCATTATCATTCCCATTTCACAGACAAGAAAGCAGAATTTCAGAGAAGCCAGGTCATTTGTGTGTAGCCAAAAACCTCATACAACGAAGAGCCGCACTTCTCCCCAGGTTTGAGCCTAGGCCTCCGGCAGTCCTCCTCCAGCTGACTGCCTCCCAGGCTTTCAGGCAGAGTAAGGTAATCATTTCTTTAAATCTCAGTGAGCTAAAAGGATTTTTTAAAAACTAATTCTGAACTTTTTTCTCAAATGCCAAATTCTGCTTTTCTGAATTTTCCTCTTATAGAAGTCTGAACTGGCTGAGATAGATTTCTATGGGCGGAACGCAATCAGAATAATTGGTTTGGGGAGAGCAAAGTAACCAATAAATTAGCTGGAATATGACCTTTCGGAGGCAGCCTTCTATTTTGTTCCTATTCTCTGGCCCCAAATTGTCGAGCATTAATTGGTAGTTTGTCCTCTAGTCGGGCTGTCTGTTCCTGACACCAGCTAATGCATTATGAGATAATCTACTTTCTGTGACTTCACATGGTTCCCATGGCAACCGTCAATGCCATTTCCCTGCAGAACAGCGTCTTCGTTTGTTCCAAATGTGTTGCAGAAATGTAAACATCTTCGATAAAAATGTCCAGTGAAATGACAGTCCAAGCGCACCATGACATTTATATAATTACAAAAGAGAAACAACTATAATTATTCCAAACCCTTTCCGGAGATTAAAAAAGGAAGGTGGATGGTTTTGGGGGACTTTTTACCTCTCTTGTTTCAGGTAAAAACATAAGGAAAAGGTTTGCTTAACAAGACATAATTGAGGAGACACCACGCTTTGGAAAAAGACCTTGTCTCTGAAGGCTACAGTGCATTAGCATCCCGCTGACTGAGTTTCTGGAAGGAAGCTGCCAGATTAATCAACCAGACGACACAGGTAAGAGGCAGGTGCTCACCTGGGACATTGTCCCGGTGACCCATCCCTCGTCCTGACCTGAGAAGGAGAGCTTTGTTTTTCATTTTTGCTGGCTTCACTATCTCTTCCCTCCAAGTGAGCCCCTGAGGAAACTTCTTGTCTCAGGACAGGACCTCAGAGTAAAGGAAGTCAGCATCTGGATGCTTTTCTTACAGCCTGAGACATAACTGATACGCAGAAAGTGCTGCACATGCTGAAAGTGTACAATTGGATGACTCTTGCATGGCCTCACTCCTCTGTTCTCCTACTTCTTTCCAAGGCTGTTCCTTCTGCTTGCTGTGCTCCTCCCACCTGCTAGCCTGGCTCACACCACTGGTCCTTTGCCCATGTCCTTGGCAGGCAGAGTTCTAAGAGGCCCAGGGTCCCCACCACTGGTGTGGGCACCTTGCATGCACTCCTCCCCTTGGTGTGGACGGTACTCTGGGCACCACGGAAAGCTCTCTGAGGAAAGGCCAATCCAAGGGGAGTTGGTTCTGAGTGGGCCCGGCCTAACCAGATGAGACATTTTCAGGGCTGTTTGTTTTCATTTCTTGTGTTTTTGCCGTGCTGGGAATCCAACCCTGAGCTTCACACAGGTAGTTCTGTACCCCTGGGATCCCCCATCCCTGGCTCCAGATGAGCTTTTCAGGAAGTTAACACAGACCTACCAGTTTCCGTTCACATTGAGAGTGTGGAAGTTTCCATTCTCATCCTTTATAATAAGAAAAACTGGAAAAGTTGAAAATTAAAATCATTTGTACCCACAACAGAGCTGAAGGTGTAGGAAAAACTGGGCTCTAAGCATGCCTGGTGGTCATATCTGGAGAGATGCAGCTGAGCTCAGCTTTCCCCCTGGGGTGGAAGCCTCTGGAGGGATGGCCCGGGAGGAAGACTCATGTGGTGATTTTGACAGGTGGCTGGAGGCTGAGCACCAGAGAGAAAGCTCCCATGTGGCTTCCTCTGCAGGAACCCTACCAGTCTCACAGAGTGAAGGCCCCAGAAAGATTCTCTCAGAGCTCTGGTAGTGGGAAGAGGAGTCACCTGCCCTTCAGAACCTTCCAGAGCCTTCCATCTGAGGAAAGGGAATTCCTCGAACTCCAACCTTCTTCAGCTAGCTGAGCTCTTGCCAGAAGAAATCCAGGGAACATCAACATGGCAGATCTGGAGGAACCAACCGTGTGACTGGAGAAGTGAGGTTGTCCCTTGGAATCTGAGGACTGGCTCCTAGGACCACCCTGCCAGGGGTACTCAAGTATCTTCTGTAAGATGGCACAGTGTACTCCTGTCTACCTCAGAGCATCTTTGGATAACTTACCACACCTGAAACAATGCACATGCTGTGTAAAAGGTTGCTCAGGAAACAATAATCCTATTGTTTAGAGAATAAAAGCAGGTCCATACGTGTGTGGTAGAGATGCAATTTTCAAAATATTTTCAATCTGCAGTTGGTTGAATCCATGGTTAGGGGACCTGTAGACATGGGGACTGGCTGTCCTCACAAGGGTCACAGCTCTATGACACATGCTCACTATAAGACAGAGCTCACTGGAAGGCTATAGGCTGCCCCTTTCCTATCATCTTATCCAATGCCAACGAGGCTGCAGTAAAGGGCAGTAGTCACAGCCTCTCTGGGAGGAGGAAGAAACAGCACCAGGACATTGGAGATGTGGCAAAGACCACTCACTGCTGGCAGATGAGCACAAGTCCCTCGGTGGAAGGTGCACTGACCCCAGTCCTATTACCTGACCCTACGTATGTGTCTTCAAGGAAATGCGATGGAGTCTCCCAAATGAAATGCAAAGAGAAGAAAGAATTTACAACCAAAGCATCCCAGAAACATGAGGCCAGCTCCAAAGGTGCAACATGCGTAGAATGGGAGCATGCCAGGAACACAAGGGTGGAGCAGAAGAAATGCTCGAGTAGTGATAGCTGAGAACTTTCCACAACTAAGGGACAAAATCAAACCACATATTCAGACAGCAATGATGACAAATAAAAACAAAAGCAAAATTATCTAGACCCAGAGTATTCAGATATGAAGAAAACCAAAAGCAAACAAGAAAGTCTTGGGAGAAGCCAGAAGAAAAATCCACTTTACGTAGAAAAATAGTGGGAATTGCAGGGAACTTTCCCATAGAAACCATGCAAGTGATATATAAAGAGTAAAAACAAGGGCCAGGGATTTAGCTCAGTGGTTTTGCTGCCTGCTGCACAAGAGCAAGGACCAGAGTTCGATCCCCAGTACCAAAAAAAAAAAAAAAAAAAGAGTAAAAAGAAAAAAGAATTCACCAATGTATCAGTTTATACCCAGCAAAATTATCCCGCAAAAATTAAGGAAAAATTGAAACTTTCTCAGACAACAAAGTTGGAGGGATTTCATCACCAAGACATCTTTCCTATAGTAAATGTTAGGAGAATTCCTAAAGTAGATGGAAATAAAGAAGAGAATAGTAGCAATGTTCTGGGTGAGTATGTGAAGTAAATGACAGCAACAACACAGGAATGCGGGGAGGAAGTGTAGCTGTGATGAGGTAGGTGCCCCGCTATGGAATGGCATATGTTGTGTGGAAGTGGACCTTGGTTAGCTGGAAGTGTGGGTTACAGACTATACATGTAGTGTGGTGTCCTGCATGGGAACTTGGAATCGGAAAGGACATTAGGAAAAAACCTGAGAAAATCTGAGTAATGCATGGTCATTAGTTAACAATCCTGTATGAGCGTTGGTTCATCTATTGATGAATGTACCAGGCCAATACTGTAAGATGATAATACTAAAAGAAAGAGGAATGGATGGAAATGCTCTGTGCTGCTCTTCAGTCACTTCCTGTTGATGGGACAAATTATCCAACACCCACAACTTGGAAGAGGAGAGGTTTGCCTTGGCTTACAGTTTATAAGGATTCAGTCCATAGACAGCTGACTCAAGAAAGGAAAGGACTGGTGGAAGGGCCTGGGTGGGTAGCTGCTCACCCCACAGCAGCCAAGAAGCAGAGAGAGGAGCTGGAGACAAGAACATACCTTCCCGGCCACACCTCAGTGACCCAGCTCCAACCAGCCCCACCTCCTCACGGCACCCATCAGCCGTGAACTGACCCAGGGTGAGTCCACAGAGGAGTAGAGTGCCCCCATGACACCACCCTCCAAACATATGAGACTTTTGGAGGATAAATGATAACAGCCATTGTGTGACATTGTCATGAATTTAAAACTATTATCAGTCAAAAGTTTATTTGGGAAAAAAAGACGCACAGAGAGATACCCTGCTAGTCTCAAGGACAGAAGCCAACAGCCCCACCCTGAGTTGTCTCTGGGGAAGGGCAGCACAGGGAGCCCTTCACCTACCACCACAAGTAACTGACCACTGCCAAGAACAGAAACGCCCGGGAAGAGGCCCCTATACTCCCAGAAAGACACAGTGTGACCCCACTGTGGTGGTGGCCATGTGGCACCTGACCAGAGGACTCCTCTATGCTGTGGCTAGATTCCAAACCCACAAAGCTGTGAGATCACAAATATATTCTGCGTTAAGCTGCTACAGTTTTGGTAATTAGTTATGCAGGAACAAAAGCAAACTTGAAATCCGTGCCCGGCTGTTCTAACCCAGCTGTATGTGTTTTCCTGCAGGACCCTCACCCTATTTACCCACTCCCCCAACTCGCACACACTGAACCCCCTTCCTTGACTGGCATACTATAGTGGCATCTGGTCGACCCCATGCCGTGGCCACTGTGAATGTGCTGGGGAAACTATGGGCAGCCTCACGTGGCTTGAACACAACAGGCTTCACTTCCTGTGCGCACCCAGTGCTGGGATTGCCAGAATGTGTGGCAGTGCTACTTGGAATGTTTTGAGGCACCGCCACATGGTTTTCCACGATGCTGAACTAGTCTACGTCCCACTAACAGTGCATGAATCCCCTGCACCATCCTGTTTCGTCTTTTGTGTGATGATCATTCTAGCTGGGGTGAGCTGACACACACTATGGTGTGAGGATGGATTACCACTCACAAGAAATACAGAATCCTGTCCTCATGACAAGAGGGGTGGCCCTGGGGACCTTCTGTTAGGTGACAGAGCCCAGCACAGGAAGACAAGTGCCTCCCGATCGCACTCACTCTTCTGTGGATCATAAAAGTTGATGTCACGGAAGTGGAGAGCGGAATATCAATGACAGAGCCCAGGAGGCAGGCGAGGGCGTGGGGCTCCAGTGCAGTGCTCTCTGCACAGTCAGCGAGGTGCTGTGGCCGGAGGACCATCAACAACAGTGACGCGGTGCGGTGCATATTTCACAGCAGCTTGACGAGAAGACTCTAGGTGTTCTCACCACAGAAATATGATAAATGTCAAGGTGCTGGGCACGTGAACTGGATCCTTATGAGTGCACATGCGTGGAACTCACGGGGCCAGCATGATAGGTGCCATCACAATGTGCCTCAGAAGGAGGATGTACATGGGATTTGGAGCGTGATGAGGCAGGCCCTAGGGTACTCACCAGCAACCGTCTGTGCTGCAGTTAGGGTGGCAGTGTGATGAAGCCCTTCCCTTCTTGGAGCTCAGAAAATGGTGAAACACAAATGAGATGTGGACGTTCAGTTTACAAAGTGTGATGAGGTCCACAAAGGGGAAACGCGGTGTCTTTGGAAGAGGATTTTGTGAATACTAAAAGACAAGAGAGACCTCATTAAGGAAATCACAGTCAAGCTCAGACCTGAAAGATATGCATGGGTGGCCGGGCTGTGGGTGGGGACTGGGTGGCATGTGCCAAGGCCCTGGGGAAGCAGAGGGCTGGGAGGCTTCTAGACTCAGGACAGCAGCAGGACACAGGGAACATCCAAAAGATGCCAGCCAAATGGGCAGTCGGGGAGCCGGGAGGGGCAGGAGGCAGTGTAGACGTGGACCCGGCAGGTGGGCAGTGGCCTCGGGACAGATGCTAGGCCCCAGGAGGCCTCTCTGGCATAAGTGGGAGTTGCTCAGACCCCTGGGGCAGGGAGTTTGCTGGGGCTGACAGAGCTCAGATCGGAGGGCACGGAGTGGACGGGACGGGGGGGGCATTGGGGAAGAACGGGGAAGATCCGTGTCTCGGAGCCCTCGGAGGAGGTGAGTGGGCAGGAGACAGGTCACTCGGCGTGGGAAGGAAGCAGCCAAGGCTCCAGGCAGACAGAAGCTTTGTGGAGCCAGTGTCTCACTGCAGAGGAGGTGGTCCGTGGGCATCCGACTCCAGGCCGCAGTGCCTCAGCCAGCCGGCTGTCCACACCTCGACGTCCACAGGGGGTTCGCTCGGCCTTCGGCACAGATGCATGGGGAACGAGAAGCTGCAGGGATGGTAAATACGCACGTTGAGGGGAGAGGAGGAGGAGGGGCAGGAGCCAGAGGGAGGGGGGGCTCAAAGGGGTCAGAGGGGCTTCAGAGCTCAGTGATGGGGGCCCAGCTCTTCCTATAAACATCACAGCTGAGGCTAAGTAGCTGTTTTTAATGTGTGAATTTATAACATCAAAAATGCTAAGCTGCAGTTTGTTTGCCCAGGGTTTCCAAATTAATCTGTGGCAGAGCTGGCTGGCACTTCAAACTTCTCGATTCTAAATCTGGTGTCCCACCCACTCCTTGTTGTTGTCCTGGTTGCAAGGCAAATGCCACCATGGGCCAGTGTCCAGGCCCATCCGGATGGTGCCTGTATTGGGCGGGGCATCCAGGCTGGAGGCCCAAGCCCCTGGTGTGGCCAGGACCCTGGGTTTAGTAACAGCAGCACCTGTGAAATGCTAGCACTGACCATGTCTGAGGCCAGCCCATTTCACCCAGCTGTCCCACAGACAAGGCCTGCTATTCTCACCCTGCCCGAAGGAGATGTAGATAAGGAGCACATAGAGCCCGTGGGACCAGACACCTCCGCCTGACTCCGACAGGTCACTGCCCACCGCCTCCCTGTGCAGGCTGGCCCCGCCTGTTCTTGGGCTGGAGGCCTGGCCGTGTGATGGGTGGTGGAACCTTTGAGCTCCTTGGAAGGGATCAACGCCGGCCTCGAGGAGTGGGTGGGCTCTCACAGGACTCAGCTGTTAGGAAGAGCGGGCCTGGCTGGCTCCCTGTCTGCAGTGGGGTCCTCCCTCTATCCTCTCCCCCAGCCCTCTGTCCCACCGTAATGTCACCCCCACACTGTGGCTACCTAGGGGACCTCACTATGGGCCACACACAGGGCTTCCCAGCCTTGGACTTTCAGCCTGCACAACCGGGAGCTAAGCAAACCTTTACCTCCATAAAGCACCTAGAGCAGGTGTTTCCTGTCACAGCAGTGACCGGGTGCTGGGGTTCATGTCCCTGCTGTCACAGTAGCCTTGCTTTGTAGGAAAGCCCAGCCTAGTGGCTGCTGGGACCCAACTGAGCAGGTGAGTAACTGCACCTTGTCTTCTGTCCTGAGACTATTCAGGGCCTGATACGATACGAGCCGCAGGGAGACAGGTGGGTGCTTCCGCCAGGCCACACAGCGCATCTGTGTCACCTGGAATCTAGCCTCGAGACTGCAGGCACCCGCTGGCCTCTGTCTTTCGCCCCGCACAAGCTGCCGTCTTCCTGTCGTGTTGTCAGGTTCCGGCTTCCGGTTACTGCTGCCAGGCCAGAGCCCTCTCCTCCTGTGGTGCAGGCCAGCCAGGCTGGTTCCTCCTGGCTCAGCCCGCACATGAGGCACAGTGACGCAGAGTGGCTCTCCTGCTTTACGGCCGCATCATCACCAGCAAAGCTCAGGGCTGCAGCCTCCTGCAGAGCAAGCGTGGAGTGCACCAATGCCAGCTCCCTACACACCTGCACGCTCACTCAGTGCCTCCTCAGCTGGCTTCCGGTCTGGGACACACCCAGCCATGGGGAATACTCACAGGGCACCATGCACGCCCGGGCCGTCTCTCTGACCTGCTCCTCCCTATGTTCTCCGCCACTCTCCTCCTGCCAGCCTGGGCTGCATGTTGCTGTCCCTGCCAGGCCTCCTGGGCTCCAAACACATCGGTGTCTACATGGGGGTTGGTAGATATCAGTTGAGCAACTGGAGAAATGAATGCATAGATATTAGGAGGGGGATTTTTCTTTTTAAGTTTCCACAACATTTGAAAGTTTTTCCCTCAAAAACTATGGCTCAGAAAATACAGTGGCCTTATACTTAAGTCCTGCAATCACTGGAGAAGCTGCTCTGATTTCCACCTGGCTCTTACTTCACACTTGCTACCCCCCAACGCTGGCCCAAGCCAGGGCACACCTGACGCTGGACTGTCCCTCAGATGCCCATG